CCGTCACAACAAACTAGTATCGGAGCTCGGGTAATCGAGGTTTGTAATCTGGTGAGAAAGATATTTGCTTTAAACATAAAGATTGACAGATTCACAGGGAGGAACAACTTTAGTCTATGGAAGATCAAGATGCGAGCCTTGTTGAAACAACAAGGCTTTTGGAAGCCAGGTCTAACGATGCTGAGTTAGCTGCTTTGGAGGAGAGGGCACACTCAACTATCATGTTGTGTCTTGGGGATGATGTCATCACTAAGGTTGCTGATGAAGAAACTGCCGCTGGTCTATGGTTAAAACTTGAAAGTCTGTATATGACAAAGTCTTTAACCAACAAGTTGCTTTTGAAGCAACTTCTGTTCAGTCTCCGTAAGCACGAAGGTACACCCCTTAGAGAGCATCAAGATAAGCTGAATACCATCCTGTTAGATCTACGTAACATTGATGTAAAAGTAGATGATGAAGATGCTGCTCTAATTCTGTTGGTATCTTTGCCCTTATCATTTGAGAATTTTGTGGATTCTTTTATTGTTGGGAAAGATAGTCTGTCTCTTGAAGAAGTAAGATCTGCTCTACATACAAGAGAAATCCGTCATATGGCATCTGGTTCCAGTATAGAAGATCAACCATCAGGGTTATCTATTACTGAGAGTCTGGGACAAAGAAAATCTAGTAGATAGTTCTAAGGGTCTTAGAGCTGATGATGTCTGTAATTACTGTAAGGAGAAAGGACACTGGAAAAACGAGTGTCTTAAGAAAAAGAGGCAACAACAAAAGGAAGAACGTTCTGTCGATGTGGCAGAAGCCGACATCAACGTTGAAGAAGATCTGGCCCTAGTTGCTAATAACCAAACACATTGTAAGGATGTGTGGGTTCTTGATTCTGGGGCATCATATCATATTAGTCCATGCAGGGAATGGTTTTCAACTTATGAGCGGATAGAAAAGGGTAATATTTCTATGGCCAACGGTGTTGTCTGCGGGGTAGTTGGAATAGGCTCCATCAAGTTGAGGACTCGTGATGGTACATTTTTCACCTTGAATGAAGTTAGGCATGTTCCACTTATGACAAAGAATCTGATATCCTTGACTCGTCTTGATAGTATGGGTGGAGTTATGACTTATGAGTGTCTACAAGGGTTCGAAGGTGGTCCTGAAAGGTATTAAAAGTGGTACCTTATATTTTCTACAGGGTTCTACAGTTACAGGTTTTATTGTTGTTGCATCATCTGAGATTCATAAAGGTGATGAATGACTTGATAGTAAGGTGGAGGTTCCATCCACAGAGTTTGAGACTATCGATCACCTAGAACAATCACCCAAATCTCTTTCTCAGTGAGGTGATCTGCGCCCAAGAAGGGGGTGATCTGGGTTGGCAGTCTGGGGCTTCAGGTGGAGCCATCTGGGACACTACGTTAGTGTCATATGTTTCGGTTCAGGTTCTGGGCTGTCAACAGCTCACTTCCCACTTGATTTAGGCAGCCTAGTTGGCTGCCATCTTTCCTTATATATAGGTTCATTTGTAAGGCATTATTAAAAATGGTAGTTACCTAGAAAATCCCTCTGTAACCTCTCTCCTCAATCAGTAAAAGATCTCCTCTCTTTCGTTAGGTGGACTAGCCAACATATTGTTGGTGAACCACATTAAATCTGTGTGTGTTTGTTCTTTCGTTTCTTTATTGTTTGTTATCTTTCTTACATCCGTCATAACACCTTTATTTTCCTGAAGGCACCCCAAAGTCAAGTAATTCTTTGACCATTAGGAACATTCTAGGAGTTAGAGAAGTCCTAGAATAAATGTAGGTAAAACTTCTTTGACCATTAGGAATTGTATATTAATGAATGATAATTTTCTTGTTTAAGTCTTTTAGCTTGAGATCGGTGCAATCGGCTGCAATTGGTGACCAAAATAGTCTTTTTCTCTTCTCCATCAACATTTCTCGAGTAGTTTTTTTAGTTGGTGTCATTGTGAGTCGCAAACTGAATGACATTGTCTTTGCCCATGTCTTCAACGATATCATCCATCATCTTAAAGAGCTTATCAGATGATTTGACCATATTAAAAGCATCAATTGATTTCAAGGAAATAGTCCCCTTATTAACCGATTTTTTTTATCAATGTTCTCCTTTTTGTATCTTTCCAACCATGGGTCATTATAATGCACCCTGTTTTCTTCCATCTGCTTTTATGTTCATTCACATTGTCTTGTGTCAAGATCACTTCTCATTTTGGTTTAATGGTATGACAACGGCTTGAATATAGGCCTATGTCTTGAGATCAAACCACACATGACACATAATACGTTATTCTTCACTTCTTACCACGTTGAATACTATGACATTCTTGTAGTAAAACCTAGAAATTCCTTGACATGCATCCTCTCTCAAATTCTTCCTATACATGCTGTTAATAGTGGCCTGAGCTTTGGTCGCTTTTTTTTTTAATGTTGAAGCCATCATCAATTTCTTCATTGCTTTTTCTTTTATCACCAGCATGTATAGAATCATCTTCCGCTTCCTCCCTTTGCCTTTTTAATTTACATGTAACAACAATGTCCCATATTTCCTGTTTCATCTTATAAGTGAGACCTTTGCAAGCACCAACATCTTTTTGTGCTCTAGCCAAATGATACTTCTACAGTAGTTGAATTGTAACTTTCTATTAGTTCCATCCACAAATTTACAATGTTCCAAACCACATCAGTTTTCTGCTCCTGGTTTTGTAGAAGTCACAACTGAAATTAACATGACACTCTACAGGGATGTGAAAGATAACAAACTTAGGAGGTAAAAGAAAAGTGGGGATTGCTACGAAACAGACATGGAGTGAAAAAGACAAAGGACTCAATAGCAAAAAATTAAAGATAAAAAACAGAGACGTTTGCTAAATTGTGAGTTTGACTACCCTGAGTGTTACTGAACACCCCCTTAGTAGTATTGTAGTATTGCTGTTCTGATATCTGGATCTAATATTTGCATGGTTTACTTATCAGAAATGAATATATTCTGGTTCTGATGCACTTGCAACATTATATGTTCGATTCAGTTAGAAACAACAGTAGAGAAGATCAAAGCAGTTGACCATGCAGCGTCGCTTGTGGAAGAAATTCTGAAAGAGGGTTCATCAAGCAATGGATTGAAGGTTTCCTTTTTGCAAAGTTAATGAAAGAGGCACCCAATAGGATTAATGTAATGATTAATTTTGCCTAATGTAAATTTGTGGTCAGGCTAATCCCTCCACGAGTATTTGTGTCTATGTGGGCTTTGAGGTTGAAGCATCCTTGAACATTGCTGCTCGTATCCGAGGACCAAATGTAAGCTCTTTTCCACACGGTTGCATACATGCATACTTTCTTTCCTTCTTATTGGCTGTTGGCCAGGGCAGTGAAGTATGATGGGGTAGGAACACTTCTATTGTAGGGTCATTGAAATTTATGTTAATATCTTTTTAATTGAATTTATCACAGTGAAGGTCCCAAAGCAATATACAGATTTTTTTTGTGATTTCATTTCCATGATGAAGCATTCATTTGGATTTCTTGTGAAGTTTATTTTTGCTCAATAAAAAAAGAAGAGACTCTAATGTCCTTAGCTTTCTCTGACTTCTCCGTCCATTGGGAGAGATTCTTTTTGTTGCTGGTGGTTGCCTTTTGTAAGCGCAGGACCAATATATAAATCACATTATGAATGAAACAGGAGCAACTGTTATGTTAAGAGGTCAAGGCTCAGATGGCTCTGAAACTGCACAGGGTGAAGGATTTATTGTTGTTGTATCACAATAATATACTATTCCTGATTATGATGCTCATATTCTGCGATTAGCTGATTTTTGCATGTGGCTTAACTTTCAGATACACATCAACCACTACATTTGTTCCTATCAAGCAATAATCCAAAAAGTCTTGAGCATGCAAAACTGTTGGCAGAAAATCTGTTGGATACTATATCTGCAGAGTTTGGTGCTTCTAGGTATTGCATTTCATTTTTCTCACTGGTTGAAGTGTGATTATACAATTGTGAATTGTCATCATTTCTCAATGTTACTATTTCATTGGGTCTTCTACTTTTTAAAACATAGGGTGTCTTCTTCTAAAGTTTATGGTGCTGTTCCTCCCCCACCACTGCTATTGGCTGGGAGTAAGAGTTTGGGAGAGGAGTTGGAAGCAAATACTATTCAGGATGCCAATTTGAATGCCGCAAGTATGGGTGTGTCTGTACCAGCATCTGCTTCTGGTGTGAACAGTTATGTTTCTAGAGGAATTGTATCACATTCTTTAGGCTCGTTGAATGTGCTGCCATCTCAACCACACACAAATTACTACCCATGTATGCCAATCTCAAGTGGAACAAGCTATATGGGTTATGGTGGGATTTATCCCCAAGTCACACCTTTGCAACAAGTTGCCTTAGCACTTAGGCAGTCAATCTCTGCAACAGCTACAAGCACTCTGGAAACATCAGCAACAACCGCAAGACCTCTGACTACTATGACATCCTCCATTCAGAAGGAGCACCCCCCACACAAACGCAAATTCAGAGAATTGCCAATGGGAAATGCCACAGCAAATCTGCTTCAGGTATTAGTGGCTGGAGTCCAATGACCATTACTCTTCTAATACTGTTTGCAACTAGAGTTGAACAGCATTTAAATAAAGAGTGTTTTTCCTTTTAGTCTGTCCACATCAGTCTGCTTATTAGATCTTGTGAGTTGTGACACTCCTTTCATTCATTGGGCTTATGAAGGCCACCCTTGGAACGATTGAGATGCGAATTATCTTGCTTTTGTTTTCAAGGCTGTGGATTCATGCTTGTCATGTCAGTAATTGCTTGCTTATAAGACATGATTGGTCTGGGGGAATGTAAAAACGAAAGGAATCTTTTGTTCCCTTTTTCTTTTTTTTTTATTACCAAACTAGCAGCTGAAGTTTTTATTTAATAAAGTACATCTTATATGGCCATTTTGAAATCAGCTCCATCACTATATTCTTTTGCATAGGAAGGGCCAATTTGTGCTTTGAAACTGAGTCTGCTTAAGTGGTTGGACTCAATTTAAGCTTTGTGATCTATTATTTATTTTAAAACTCTTACCTCTTTTCTCCCAGCAAGATGCAATGATGTCTTTACTGACCTTTACTACTTGATATTCCAGGTATTTTCTCTGACCTTCTAAGAAGCTAACATGGCGATTCTGGACCCTATTGGGCATTTGTATGTTTCACAGGGTTTTATGATCTGGAAGTTGCATGGAATTGCTGCATGTTATGGTGATAGAACAAGATTTTAAACTAACCATGCTCTGTTGAAGGACACGACACATTACCGGGTGCAAAATATAGAAAAGAAGTTACATATTTGTCTTTTTTGCATCTGCATCTACCCAAAACAGTTCGGCATCCTTTCCAAAAAAGAGTCATGCTTGAAACCTTAATTTTGTCCCAATAAAGAGTCCTTTTTGAACAAAGAAGCTTATTTTCGTCATATTTAATGAGAAGGTTTCCTTAACAAGTTGTGTGTTAAGTTTAGTGAAACCGACAAATACAACAACAAAAAAATTTAGAAATATATCTATATTTGATTATGGTGCAATAGTTGTACTGCACCAAAATTTAAAAGTTCATTTGTGAAACAATACTTTCTTTTATGAGAAAGAACATTTTATCGTCCATCTTTATAAAAAAGATTCATTTTTGAAAACTAATTTTTGTCCGAACAAAGCTTTAATTTTTTTAAATAAAAAGTGTACGACTTCAACAACAAGAAACCCATTAAAATCCCACGAAAGTAGGATCTGCAGAGGTTGTGTATTTCCAAAAGACCCCTGGCTTGAACACAAAAAGTGTACAAGTTGAGTATGTTACGTTTATTTAAACAAACAAATGAATTTAAAAATATAGCTATATTTGGTGATTTCATTGGTTATTCCTTATTTAAAAAATTAATAGTTGTACCTTCGATCCTTTACGAAACATGTCTCTCTTTGTTGGACAGAGGGATTATTAAAGTTTAATTTCTACAAAAAATTAATAGTTGTACCTTTGATGATGTTTACTCCCTCATTATTCCTTATAGAGAGATTAGTTAGTTCCTACCTTTTTTAGGGTTATAGTAATAGATTGTTGTAATTGAGCATAGTGATTGCCTACCCTGTTCTTTGTCCTGCAATGATGGACCACAATTGATGTTTTGGTCAAAGATGTTGAACTTTGGAGTAAGTTAATAATATATTGATGATTTTTGATGTGAATCTAATTTAAAAGAGTTCTTCACTAAGAATATTCTCATAAAAGCAAAGTGTTTGTAATTTTCACTAAAATGAATCAATTAAGGCATTGGTCAAAAGTCAGCATCTTTGATCTCTATTGGTATTTGTCTACTAGTTGTGTTTTGACAAGCAAAAGACGTGAATGACAACAATGTTAATAACTTGGGGGTTTGTACACCATGATAAACTCAAATGTGAATTGCGACCCTTATTATGGGATATCATTCATCTTTGAGCATTCTAATTCCAATGTTTCTATATCATGTACATGTTGCCAATCCCATTACATGACTGGTATTGAATCTGATATCTGGGAGCAGGAATTCTTTATTTTGTTAATAGTTAAGAGTGTTAGCTGATTGTTTTTAAGTGTTATCAGTTATATACTGTATAAATTTTCAATAACTTTTAGGATTCTGTATTGGGGTTTCTGCTAAAAATCTATGACAGCGCTTGCAGACTCCCAAAGATCATAATCTAGCTGCAGATGCTGGTGCTAGGGATAATAATATTGTTCCAGGCCCAATGGTCTGCCAGCTATCTTCTCGTGTAATGCCACCACCACCTCCTCCTCCCAAGATGATGAAGCCAATGGCTCCTCCACCGCCACCAAAAACCAATCATTTAACACCTAAAGTGCAAGGGATAACCAATGTGCCTCATAAGCTGTTGCCGGAAAATGTTTCATCAACCCCTAAAGTGCATGGGATAACCAATATGCCCCATAAGCCATCGTCTGAAAACTTGCCTGGTACATTCACGAATCCATCTCTCCATTTTTATGTTTTTCTTGGGAAGGTTTTTAATCGTATGAAATCAAACAATTCATATTTTAACATGTTTTAAGCTTATGTATTGCATTAATTTTTGTTCTATTTGATTTCATTCAAACAATTCATATTTCAACATGTTTTGAGCCTATGTATTGCATAAATTTTTGCTCTATTTGATTCCATGCAAAAGAACCTTGGAATCTTGTGAAATTTTAGGATGATGATCTATGAGTTTGGAACTTTCAATCCCATGGTGGATTTCACAAAAGAATAATCCAATTGAAAGATATGAATGTTGTAAGATTTGTTGTACAAAAAGTTGTAAGAATAACCTCTGTGGGCGCGCGCACACACACACACACATATATATACATACATAGATTTGGGTTCAAATGAGAATGATGCATAATGACAGAAATGAGAATGCATATGATCCATTAGATTTAAGATCTAAGTTATTAAAAATAAAAAATTCTGCAAAATTGAAAAAAAAGTGGTGGCAATTTTGTAAATAAATTGAACTTTCTGAAAATGCACTATGACAAGCATAAAATGCATCACGACAGTCTGAAAATGCACCATTCTCATATTCTCGCAGTAAGGATATTCTCACCTGAACCAACCTCTCTCTCTCTCTCTCTATATATATATATATATATATATATATAGTTCGACTCCAGTCAGATGACATCTTATGGTAAGATGATCAAATGACGTATAACAAATCACTGACAACTACAAAGCTCACCGACAGCAACTGCAAAGGTCACCTTGTTTTTCAACCCTTTGTTTTTTTTCAAAAAAAATAATAATCAATGGAGTGGACTTTGACCCATGTTGATTGGACTTTGACCACTGGCTGCCTCCGTTGACCGCTGCCTGCCGCCGCCATCCGCTGGCAGTCATCGCCACCACCAGCCTCCGCCGTAGTCAGTCGTCGTCACCGCAGGCCTCCGCCCCCGTCGGTCGCCGCCGCTGACTGGTGGTTGACCAATGTTGCTATTTTATTTTTAATTAAATTTTTTATTTTTAAAGTTTTTAAAAATGGCGACTTTTGGTGTTCAAAGTGGTGAACTTTGCTTTAATTCTAGGTGAGCTTTGCATTGACAATTGGTGAGCTTTGGAGTGTAATGTGGTGAGCATTCAGATCAGTTTTTATTTATTGTTGTCATCTGATCATCATACCATAAGGTGTCATCTGACTAGTACTACTGGTGTCATTTGCTTATTCCAATTTGTTTGGGGCATCTACGGTGCCTCATTGGTAAAATTATGGTTCCTACCCCCCTAAACCCCCACTCGCTCCCCTCCGTACCCTTGCAGTAGTATATTGCAAGGGTAGGGAGGGGATGTAATCAATTGGTGTATACGTTATTGATGTCAAAATAAAATGAAACTAATAACTTGTTAGAGTGTCATCCCACATCAGAAGTTCAAGAGCAAAATAATCGGTATATAAGTTCTTGAGTTGAACTAACTAATCGATTGGATTCAATTTTTTAATGTGGTTCAGCCCAAGTGTCTTATTGCCCAATCCAGTTATCACTACCCCATCCTAAATTCTATCATGGTATCAGAGCAGGTTTTGGCCCACCTCATTTGTAAAGGTGTCCGTCTAGACATTTCTAGCGGTCCGTTAGTCTTTAGCCCAGTTGTCCGCATGAAGTATGTACCTAACAGCCTGTGGCCCGTTTAACACGATTGCTCGTTTGGAAATCCATACCCAGCGGCTCGGGGTCCTTTAGGTATTGGCGCTCAAAAAAAATCAAGGGAATGGGAGTTTATTTGCAAGTGGTCAACCGGTTAGATTCAAAATGACCCGGTTGTCCACTTGAGGGGGAGTGTTAGAGTGTCATCCGACATCGGAAGTTCAAGAGCAAAATAATCGGTATATAAGCTTTTGAGTTGAATTAACTAATCGATTGCATCAATCTTTTAATGTGGTTCAGCCCAAGTGTCTTATTGCCCAATCCAGTTATCACTACACCATCCTAAATTCTATCATAACTTATACACCTTACTCATACCGTATATAACTGTATATTGTATATACTGTATATATTTTATACACCAAGTTTTACCAGTTATACTGTATTAGTGTAAGCTGATTGTTAATAGCTAAGCTTTGTCACGTTTCTTCTCTTTCTTCCCAAAAAATTTTAACCACTCACTTTTTTTTGTCAACATTTTCTTAAACTGCGTGAAGTCAAAATGTCCTAATTAAATTGGGACGGAGGGAGTATAATTTAATAAGACATTGGGTATATCCTAATTTAGCATATTACTGTAAATCTGAATTTTCAAAACTTGTGATGTTCTAACACTTGAAGATGTATTTTCTGGCAACTTGCGTGCCAATCCGGAACGTCAGATGGGCATACCTGATGGTCCGTAGATTGAGTGGTGGAGTCGGTCACGCAAGTGGGGGTGTGGATTGAAATCTGCACCATCACAGGCTCCGACGCCCTCCAAGTTGCTCCAGCTTTTGATGTTCCAGTTGACTTGTGCAGTTTCAGTTGTGGAACGTAAAGAAATAAAAAGATCAACCCCAGCATTTGAAACTCTATGTTCATTTATTTATTTTAACAAAGAAGTTGCTGAAAATGTTGGCTTGTTCATGCCATTTGATGCTTTTAGATACCCTGGTGAAGCTAATGGAGTATGGGGATGACGATGATGATGACACCGAGGTTACTGCTGCTGAAGAGACATTGCAAGGGAAATCAAAGAATGTACCCGAGGCTCCGAAACCTTTCTGGGCTGTTTAAGACAGTGTTAGCCATCTGCAACTTTTCTACATTTCAGTCGATGGTAAACAAATCACATACTCGCCCTGCAGACTGAAGTACTTATATGGAGAATGGTCTATCATTAGAATCTGTGGCTAAGAATGTGACAATTTCAGTTTTTCTAAAAACCAAGAGCCGCCCCCATCCCACCCCTTGATCTTTGCCTTCAACGTTGATGTCTGAGGTAAACCGCAAAGCTAACCGGGCAGGAGGTCAAGAGGTAACTCAGATATAATTCCCGTTTATAGTTCACACTCATCTTTCGTACTGTGTAGCTTCGTCGTAGATAGTTATGACAGGAAGCAACTCCGATATGACTGCCTTTACACAGTTGCACTACTTATTCTGTTTTCCCATTCGTGTCATAATCATTTTTTCCCATACATGTCAAATTTACCAAGGGATGGATCTTTTTAAGCGAGTAAGTCTATTGTTGAACCACACATACAATGTTATTGTCCATCCACTTCGAGTAACTAAGCAATTACTTTGTTAGTTAGCATATCTTGATAAATAATACTCCCTTCGTCCCAATGTGTTTGTCTACATTGCCTTTTGCACATGGGCCGACGACCGAGGAGAGCAAAGAATACAAATAGACTATTATACATTTATACCCTTACTTTAATTATTGGATGAGAGTTATAGGGAGTACAATTAAAAATAAAAAGGGGCCAAAGAGTCAATTAGATGACATTTAGTCCTGTAAACTTTTGATTTGTAGTTCTAAGTCTATAGCAGTAACAAGAAAAAAATGCCATTCTTAGCTTAAGACTGGCTTTTAGGTTTCCTTCTCATTGAACAAAATTAGTACATCCACTTATCAAAAGCAAAGTTAAGTCATGTGCCATTGCGTAAATTAAGTGACGAAGATGAAGGAAAAAATGAAGCCAGGTGGTGAACCAACCCATTTCCCCATTCTTGGAAGAAGATGAGAAGCACGCACCAACAAATGTGATGTTTCATTGACTAAACAACAGAAAACAAAACTAAAACAGACAATGGGGTTCGAACACTGAATGTGAAGAAGCTTAGGGGTGACGTTCTTGCCACTTCCACCTCCGCCACAATAGTGGAATAATAGTAAGACCAATCTCGAGCAATTACTCTCTACACTTCAACCACTCCTTACAATTATTAGTCTTGAGAACGACACAACTCCAACTTTTAATTTTAATCCAACCCAGATGGTGTTTGGCAGTGCGCTGTTTTTAATAATTTAGATTCTGCTTTGAGTGGAAGTGGTTTTACTCTGTTTGGCATGTCAACTTCTGCTTTTCACCACCACTATTTTGTACGTACAACACCGTTTCAGAGAAGCAGGTATGAGGTGCTTCTGCTTTCACCTTTTGTGGAAATCACTTTATCCACAAGTTAATCACTCCCAAATACCCTCTCAAAGTCTCTTTCACTGCAATTGCTTCTGCCTCTCTAGGTCCATATATAGCTCCCCCCTGCATGCAATATTTTAGGGGCCAAAGAAGCTATGGATCATTATGGTCTCGAGAAGCAAACCTAGTCGCATAACATCATCAATAAGGCTTATCGAAGCATCCACATTGATCTTCAAAAAGTTGTGTTGTGGTTGTGCCAAATTACCAACTGCCCCATCCCCTAGCCTTGAAATGATCAGTGCCCTTCTTTGAAATGTGAGGGGAGTCTCTAATAGGTGCAAGTGACTCTCACACCTCAAAAGGCACCCCTCTATTATCATTGTCTTTATTTTTTAACCAATGCTTAGAACTAATTAAGGAAGCACTATTGCTTTCAAGTGGGGAGTGATTTCTCAAAATTGTTTTGCGAAAAGAAATTTGGAAATAATATTGTATAATCGGCCAAATTTGAGAGTACTGACATAAAATTTTCCTTTTTTGTATTAATGAGAGCTTTGAATTAATGCTAAAATGGTGTCAAAAAGTTGATGTCCAAGACATTCTTAACAGGAAAAGCCTTCACATTTCCATCAGAAGCTGAACAACGAAAGGAAACAAGTTCTAAAAAATTTATCCTATTTATTCTTTATCCTAGGTAGAAGTTGCTTTAGATGTATTTTTTAGTTAAAGTATTTATGAGTTTTGTAAAAAACAAAACAAGAAAATCTTTTAGGGATGGAAAGTAGAATTTATAGAAAAAAAATCTAGACAAAAGCAATCACTCCCGTATCCTTCGGGACATGGACTATCTTTTAGGGAAATACTTAGTTCACAAACACAATCGCCACAAACTTCACAAACTTACGATTTGTGAATTTTAATAAAAAAATTAAATAGTCTAAAATAATTTGAAAATGAAAATTTAAACCATAAATAGTAAGTTTGTAAAGTTTGTGACGATTATGTTAGTGAACGTAGCATTTCTCATCTTTCTACTGCGCATATTTCAATGTTTGGTAGGTTTCTATGTCCACTTTCTCTTTTTCGATCCTTTTATCTATATATGATTTGAATATGAGTGTTGGTACATCAAAGTGGACCCCTCACGGGAAAAATAGAGATTTTGAAAATGGTATTCAATACTGTGTTTTTTCAAATTAGTCATCTAAATTAACTAATCTCAAGATGGTACTCGTTATTTAATAGTAATAATGTTTAATTCAGTATTCACGACTAATGACCGTTAAAACGGAGTTATAACAACGTTAAAGTTTATAATATTTTCTCAAAATGATACTCTCTAATATAATTGGGTGTTTTCTTAAATTGATCTTTTTTTGAAATAAGAATATATTGATTATGAAAAAATATTTTAAATTTTATAAGATGACAATATAATACTAAAAACTATTAAATATAATCCTTTAATATAAAATTTGAGAGTTGATTAAGTAGAATGATGGCATGTATCACTTAAGGATGGTTTAATTGAATGCCACATCAGTCATCCGCGTGTCTTAATTTTGGTGTATTTTCAGCGTCCCGCCCATCTTTACGTCTCATTCAGCGCAAGAGAGGAATTTCTCTCGCCTATCCTCCTCCAACGCGTGATGTCCGCGATTTCTTAAATTTTTTCAAGAATTTACGAGAGCTAAATTAGAAACTTCTATCCTCATCCCGAATATATCACCGACGCATGTCATCGGAAGGATCCGTCTTCCATCTCCGCGAAGGAAAGTCTACAAATTAGGTATGTTTCATATTTTTTTATGAGAATTTATGTATAGTCGAGGAAAGTCCGCGATTCAGATTACGTTTCCTTTCCAGATTATGTCCTAAGAATAGGTTTATTTCCAATTTCTTTTTAATTTTCAAATTATGTTTGTTTCGAAAGTCTTGGTTTTCTTAAGGATTACTTTTTTTTACAAATTGCGATTTTAAATTCTTTTCATTCCAAAATTTTCCCTTCACATATATGTAAAGTAGTTGTTTATGCTTCATTCTTCACGGTTCATATATGTAAAATATTTCTAATCATCATTCCTACATTTCCTATAAATAATCTTTCTTCATTGAAGAAACCCATCGCACCCCTGTTTTTTTCCCCTTTAATTTTTTTCATATTCCTCCATAAGTCATTTTTTCTCTGAGATGGCTATCCATCCTTTATCAAAAATCAATCCAACAAGTGAGTGTTGGAGAATCATGGTTCGTGTGATTAGACTATATACTTTACCTGTGTATAGTGATGTTGCGACGACAAATTCTATTGAGATGGTGTTCATGGACGAACATGTAAGTCAAAGAATAACTTTTAATGTTACATATGATTCTTATTATGTGTATATACGTTATTGTTTTCCATTGGTAAAAATTAGACTATATTTTTATTCATGTGTATCATATTGGTGATATAATAATTTTGTGGGATATATCCTAATTATATTTTATAGACTAACTTTTGTTGGTGAAAAAACTAGTCTAACATATGTTTGTAGGCATTAGGAGTTACGAGTTGTCATGTTTTAAACAAACATTATGTTAGAATAAATGCTACTACAAACTAAAAAGAGTACAAACATGCTATAAACGAGCAACTAATTGATGGTTTATAAGCCAACTTTTGTGTGGGAAAAATCAAAGGGGAGTACAACTTTTGGTTGCTGTTTTATAATCAACTTGATGGTTTATTGGGAGTTAGGAGTTGTCAAGTTTTAAGCCAAATGATGTTTTAGAAGCCATGTTTTGTCAAAACAGCTTATAACCCAAAGCTCTGAGGGTAGTAAATAAGAGCAAACTTGATAAGCTCAAGAGAGTCAAAAATATATAGAAGAAAGACAAAATAAAAGCATAGCCTGTCCCATAGTGCCCTTTCTAAGTACTCCAAGGTATCTAGCTTGGTAATATTAACATGAGAAATCCCTTTAATTTCTTCTTGGAGTGAAAGCTCCACCATTCAATGAGGTGTTGAGTGATGTTGAGATTAGGTCTCAGTCTAGGTCCATTAAGAAGGAGTTCATAGTGAAGCCAGACAGTTCTAGCCACCTTACAGTGGAGTAGTACATGAGCATCTTCATTCCCCATTATTAGTGGCACAATTAGGGCATATGACTGGATCTGCCAAGGTTGTTGTAGATAGGTATAGTAGAATGCTAGACATTGGGTTGTCCACTGATCTCAAAGAATATTTATCAGATAATATTTTACAACAGTGAACAATGACAAAGAAAAGTTGTACACTGATCTCAAAGAATATTTATCAACAATGAATAACGATCAGAGAAAAATATACAATGAGATAATAGAAGTTGTGGAAGTTGCGAGAGGAGGCTTTTATTTTGTTTATGGTTATGGGGGAACAGGAAAAACTTTTCTTTGGAAATCATTTTCTGTTGTGCTTAAATCAAATGGTAAGATTTTTTTTAATGTTGCGTCTAGTGAAATTGCAGCTTTGCTATTACCGGGTGGTAGAACAGCGCATTCAGATTCTCGATCCCCTTAGCGCTAACTGAATGTTCAATATGTGCGATCAAACAAGCCCAAAAGAAGAATTAATTCAACAAGCAAGTCTTATAATATGGGATGAAGCGTGTATGATGAATAGATTTGCTTTTGAGGCCTTAGATCGAACCTTGAGATATTATGCGGTTCTCTAATAAAAATGCTGCAAATGAACCTTTCAGTGGAAAAATGGTTGTGCTTGGGGGTGACTTTCGTCAAATACTTCTAGTTATAGTAAGAGCTTCAAGAGAAGAAATTGTGGAAGCTACCGTGAATGCATCGAGTTTGTGGTCATATTGTAAAGTATTTACATTGACTAAGAATATGAGATTGCATTTATCTTCATCCAGCGACGCAGACAGTGACACACAACTTTTTTTGAGTGGATAATCAAGATTGGAGATGGACAACTTGGTTTGGTTAATGATGGAATTGGTGAAATTGAAATTCCACCTAAACTTGATCTTGAACTCAAGTTCTCCACTTCAGAGTATAGTTGAATTCACGTATCCAGACCTTTTGGAAAATATGAAAGATTATACTTTTTTATGGATAGAGCTTTATTAGCACCCACGCTTGAAGTTGTTGAAATGATCAATGATTTTGTTTTCTCTTATTCCAGGAGATGAAAAGGAGT